ACCTTTTCATTGTCCCTTATGTACAAACTCGATCAAACCGAGTCTGCAATTTTCATGTTATTTTGTTGTTATGAATGCTTCCGAGGGATCACCCTTTTCCAAATTTTGAAGTGTTGAGGATTAATAACTGCTTTAACCGAAGCGTGGGGGCTAGAGAGATATTACACTTTTCGTCATAAACGAAAATCAAGTCTGCAATTTTCAACTATTTGCTTTGGACTTGATTGCTCTCGAGTGACCTCGTCTTTCTAGTTTCGGTATGTGCTATAAAACTTATAAAATCAGTTTGGGATAATTGTTGGTCGTTTTCTACCAGTTGATCGCAAGGAAATGAGTCTTTTGACTCGTTTATATTAACAAGTATTGGTAGACACAGGAAAATGATTTAGACTTATTCGTTTCATTATTCATCAGTTAACTTTTCATTAGAATTGAAATTGAATTTATTTGGATTATACATCTTTCAGAAGTATTTTTCAATTCATTAAAAGAGATTTCCTTTTGATGTTTCGCCTTTTTGTACACGTTTGATTGTGCTTTACAAAAAGATCTTATTATCAAATTATCTTTTTCTGTTTGAAGAAGCTATATTTTATTGGCTTTTTACAATCAAATGAGACATGTATTGCAGAATCCTAGCATTTGTAGAATGTCTGATATGAAATGAATTATATAATATTGATTTTGACATTGTAATCTTGATCTTTTAACCTTATTCACGTTCCATGAGAATCTAAAATATCCAAAACAAATAAAGGCAAAAAAGATTTGATGGTGTTTTCTTTCTTTTTTCATCTTTTTTTTTCAGTCCAGGACACGTCAGCTATACGGGAAACTTTCTGGCATGTAACCCGTTCCTGCACTAAGAAGATTTGCCGATTTGAATGAACCCATGTTGCAATAGGCAAATACTTGGAAGAGGTACGCCAATCCAATTTCCTCTTTCCTATCTCGGTGCCATATAGCCATAATTGTGTTGGTGCGACGTTAAATGAAACCAACCAAACAAACGAATTCTGCTTAAGGTTGCACCTGGCACTGCTGTCAATTAATAGGCTCTAACAAACTGAGCCTACAGCCATACAATGTTGTAATTTTAGGTGTCCAGTATATCTTTTGACATCGTACATGCATCGTTATTCTAAAAGAATTTTTTTTTTTCAAGGAATTCCACTGAGGTTCAAAAGCCTTAACATATACTTTTTAAATTTCTTACATAGATCAATAGGGTCACTTAAGACAGAAGATGTGCAAAAGATAAATATGAACAAATACTAAATCGTATGTGTGTGCTTTCTAATTAAAGCGTTGCATCGCTCTTCAATATTTGGTCGTTTCTCACCAATAGGACAATAATTCCTGAAACAAAAACGAAAAAAAAAATAATTTGGTCATACTATCATGATGTTTAAAGTTAGATCTGTAAAGCAAAATTTAGTTTTTTCACTTAGTTCTTTAGTTTATTGCTTTAATCATTTCTTTTATCAATTTATATATTTATCATATAACCGATATAACAAACCTTTTTTTAGTACCTGTATCTTTACTTTGAAAAATCAAAAGAACATGTCTGCGCTGATAAGTGGAATGACTGACTAAAAAAATGTCGGTGAGCTACCGGTGACATATGGCTTTTGTATCATATTATATCTAATCTTGCAAAAGATGCAAAATAGATTTAATAATCCATCATTTATATTACTATTTTTTCTACAACTGAAATTGAATTTATCACAATATAATACTACTTCTTTCATAATATCATAAAGTTTTTAATTTCTTAAAAGGATTTTTCTCTTTGATGTTTCGCCTTTGCCTCCAACATTTTTATTATGCTATACATAAAGGTCTTACTATCAAGCAATCTCTTCTGCTTGACAAAATTGTGTATTATTGGATTTTATTGTTGGAGTAATCTATTGAATTTGATAATTCAGGCGTTTGAAGATGAAACTATTATGGAATCATCACGATATTGTATTTTATCTCTGTCCTTGATTCAAGGTCAAGGTCAATGACATGTAAAAAGAATAGTTAGCTTAATTGATTGTGATTTCCGTTTTATTTATTCAAAGCTATTCTTGAGGAATGTCTTTAATCGGGTGTGTTTTTTGTAGTGTATACATTGTATTGAAATATGTTTAATATGTTATGGGGTGGACCGTAGTGTGTACACCGGCCGTAATGGCAAAATGTATAAGACAATTGCAATCCATACTAGAGATGCTAAATCGTTCTTAAAGGTAAATATATGCAGCGTCTCTTCCGGATCTGTGATTCGCAACACGTCCTCAAAGTTGGAAACCTTGGAGACGACAGTTATGTTTGTTATATTTTAGGGCCTCAATGGATATACAATATATATATAAATGAAAATGCAAAATACGATAGATATTGCTGATTTGAAATGTACCTAGTACACAAAGTGGCTTCAGTCATCATTTGTTTATACAATTTTACTACAAGAATCATCTCCGTCTGTCAATGAGCGAAGATTTTACCTTCTCCATAGTCGAACTTCCCTTCTATCGCCACATGGTGGGGATTCGAGTTTGTTACTGGAATATAAAATGCTTAGTTTTACTGAGAATAATAGCACCATATGTCCATTATTTACCAATGTACTTCTCTGTCCGCTATAAGAACACATGGGCGTGACAAACTCACCCAGCAACCCCTACTTCTTCCATCTTTCTATACACTCTTTGAAGATTTGCTTAGATAAAAATTTTGACGACTAATTTTCCTCTAGTTGATATTGTAAAAAAGGTGTTGGGGCTAAATACACATGTACTGATTAGTCATTTGTTTGGTTTCCAAGTTCCCCACCTATTGGAAATAGAAGGGGACTTCGACAATGGAGCAGGTAAAATCTTTGCTCTGTGACAGACTATTAGATAGTAAATTCAACAGCAATTCCATAACAAAGTAGTTCGAGCAATATTCGCTGTTAGCTTGGCTTCAGACAGAATTATTATTATTATTATTAACTGGCAGTTTGGAGCAACTAGAATTTAAGGCACGGTTATCCGCTATCATTAGCTTTCATATAGGCATGGAGAGCGGGCTTACAAAAGACCAGGCTATTTAATTATATTGGAAATGTTTTGTTCGGTGTGAAGGTCATCTGTATAAAGAACATAAGACCCGTCATACTCGTATCTTCTAAAAAATCAAAATGTATTTCACAACTTGTTCATGTTTTATTTTGATATTTGATAAGTTTCAAAAAACTTTCAAAACAAGACATCTTGGTTGCAAATAGTGACCAATGTGTGTCATAACTTAAATTACAAGATGTTCATAAATTAAAATAAATTTTAGTGTGCAAAAGTGATACGGTTTAAATAAGTGTAATAATTATGTTAAATGAATAAGATTTGGCTGTGAAATGACTGTGAAATGACGAATGTGTTAACTTAAATTACAAGACATTCCATCGTCGGAATCCACGGTACACATTCCGTATATACAACATTTACCGATACATGTATACGGTAAATAGCATGGGTTACCGAGGATGAAGATATTCAATAATCAAAATAAATATAAAATTAGGGTGCAAAAGTGATACAGTTTAAGTGTAATATGTTAAATAAAATATGTTGTTATTTTTTACAGATTTCTATAAAAAAAACTATATAAAAGATACAAATTAAATGAAAGGTATATAAAAATGTTTTGCCCGGTACATATAGCATTGCAAAGACGGAGGCAGTGGAGCACCGTCTGTATTCCTTAAGCCGTTAAATTATTAGTGTATATGTTAATAATGACAATGACAATAGATTTAAATAGCGTTAAACATTGTACAAATATTTATAACAACAAATGATGAAAGAAAATTGTAACACATATCCCATATATACAAATGGTGAGCAAAGTGCAAAGGAAATAATAAGTCCTCTGTCTTCCATTAACATTAAAGAATGAAATACATCTTCAGTAAGTATTTTTATTTCTGGTACAAAAAAGTCGTGCATACAATAGAACTGTATAAGACTAATGAACAGTGTTTCTCTATAAGTTAGCAAAGAATATATTTTAAAAAATCCAATGAAATGCATCTTCAGTAAGCAGTAAGCATTAAAGTATTTCTGGTCTTCAATACAATAGCAAAGTTTGTATGAGTAATACACTGAACAGTATTTCTCATTAAGTTGGCACATTATATATTGTGCCAAATCCAATGAAATGCATTTGTATCCAAACGAAAAAGCGTTACAAAAAACTTCTTTTTATTTTGATACATCATGTACAACAATTTCTGTACAACAACATAATGTCTAGCCTCTCGTTTCTTGACAGGACAACATTCAATTTACATTTTTATAAGTGTTTTATCTCCACATGGTCGTAAGAGTTATGTTTAATCGGGATGTTATCAATATTTCCTTCTAAATATTGACAATAAAAATATTGTCATTTTATATAACAAGCAATAATATCTTGTCGTCTGCGTTTGTAAAAGTTTATAGAACGTCCTTAAAGTTTTTCTGCGTCTTAATTCAACATAAGAAACATATTATTACTAGCACATGTATTAAACTAATATTTTAATGTTGACTTAAATTTGAAGCCCGGGTTTTCTTTAAATACTTAAATGTACAGAAGTTTAGATTTCCCAGGTGTTCATTTTAATATATATTTAAATATTTGCCCGTTTTTTTTTTTTAATAATATCGGACTTAGATAAATTTTAATTTGTTTGTATGTATGTTTAACAAAATGTACATTTTAAACTTTACAGGTACATATAAGTTGTTGATTTATTAACGCTTATATAAACAATACTGTAACATTTTTTTCATTTTTAAGTATGTCCCATTTTTCAAGATCGTTTAATAGAGCAAATAGTATGTTTAGTACATTTAAATACATGTACAGTTTTTATTACAAACTCCGGTATAGCCTTCGGCGCTTTCATTAATTTCTCCTTAACCTCCGTCCGTTCTACTCGAACTGTCGCGAGAGTCTCGCGATATTCAATAATGTCTCGCACCACTTCTCACCGTGAAATGTAAAATAGAAAGCGTATACCTTGTTGTGTATTGATAAATAAAGACATAATAAAACTCGTATGTTTATGTGGTGACTTAAACCTTAAAGACGGGACGGGAAATACGGACTTTGTCCAATTCTAACGTCGGAAACTGTGGAATATATTGATTTTTAATGGTTATACAGGCAACTAAGTAACAAACAGTTAAATATAGGATAAAACTATTGTCAATGAAACGGTGTTTTATATCTGACGATATAGGAAAATCTATACACTGTACATCTAACACACCTGAGTTTACCTGTTCGTCGCATATGCGTAGCTTAAAAGGAAGCACGTATTGAATTTACTATTTACTTTCTTGTTTTGTGACACAGTGTAGTTTTCTGTTTTCATTTGAATAGTTAGATTTGGTGCGCTTTCAAAATGATCTGATTTTACAACTGAATGGTTTAATTTTCTTTTATATTTTTTTATCATTGTGTTTTATGGGAAATTATTAAAAAAACGGTACAAAAATGAGTTTGAGAAAGTTAAAGTTGTTCAAAATTATACAGACTGGTACCACCGAGGCCATCTTAAAGGCCTTAATGGAATACCTTAAGAGTGGAAAGGACCCTAACATACGAGATGATGTGACAGGAGGGACTTTACTCCATCTTATAGTAGAGAACGGTGACCGGTTTATCACCGGCCAGACGGTGTCGGGGGTCTATATGCTCGTTTGTAAGGATATAGACATCGACGCCACGGACAACATGGGAGAGACCGGGCTGCATAAGGCTATGAGGATCAAGGGCGGATACAGGATCATACTCGCATTAATGAGGTAAAGTTGCACCAGACTTTGAATGTATCGCTGGCGGGGCGGGGGAGGGGTTATTTGGGATATCGCGCCTTTAACCCTCACCCCCAAGATCCCCCCTGCTCGTATCCTTCTAGGGTCATGACAATGTATTTATGTATATTTAGTAAAGATTAGGTCACACTAGCTCCAAATAAAACTGTAAGTTTATAACATAAAAATCGAGATCAAAATATTTAAGTATTTATAAATACATTACAAATGCAGTCAAATCCGTTTATATAATGGCTAATAGTCTTTAAATGCGGCAAAATATTTCGTTTAAATATACGCACAGTTGTATAGTTTAAACTTCTCTGTCGTGAAGTTACTTATCTCTTCAAATTCTTACTCTAAATTGTAAATAAAAAAATGATCTACTTCTTTCATATACGATTTCACATATTCCGTTGACAAACATATTTATTTTGGATAGTTGTGGCAAGATGAATAAATAAAATAAACAATATTTTGTAGTGAAATCGTTTATGATCTTATGCGGATGAACTGTGCCCAAAATTTACTTTTCTGTATCACTGATAACAATGGGTTAATGACACACGTTTCATTTTGCGTAGGTAGTCGAATTCATGCTCTGTTTCACATAATGTTTATAAAAGTAAGTTGTTGTTGTTTTTTGAGTGAGTTATTGTCTCTATATATTAAAGCGTGACCTTACCGTTAAAGGTTAAATGCATATCTTATTTAGTGTACATTCATTTTATGTAAAAATACAATTATCGGCGTACGAATATTAAATTATTCACTTTTTGAATTATTTGCATGTTTGGTTAATACTAAAACAGTGTTAATTAAGAGTTCCACGGCACCCGACTGTGCCTGAAAATGATAAAATGATGTAGGGCGTGTTGGTAAAGGCATTTTAAAACATTCTTCATCTAACAATCCCGAAATATGATTGGCTGGAATGGAAAATACATAGCAACAAAAATATATGTTTTACTGCGTTTTACCTAGGTTATGATATTATATAAATATCGCATAGGTTTGTAAGTAACTAATGAGTACTTTTACGAGGGATAACATGTTGCTGTTCTCGCAAATCTATATGTGTTGTTTATTTTCTTACCCCGAACAAATACGAGTACCATTGGGACATCGTTTCTATAGGTTTTTATTTTTTCAAGATTTGTACAGCGAAAAAAATACTGTTACTTATGCAACAGTACCAAATTTTTAGTCACAAAGTACACTTGAATTAACAGAATGAATAACTCTTATTGACTTATGGGAAATGAAAGAAATGTGTGGTAATAAATAAAAAAAATGTTAAACCTTTTAAAATGTCACATTTATGAAATGTCATATACATGTACATATAAGGCCAGCTTCTTTCAAATATAGTGACCGTGACCGTGGACTATTATCTATTGTCCATATATAATCGGACCTGTTTTTGGATTATGCTTAAGAAAATATTTAAGGAGATTGTCCATGTCACAATGCGGTTCGCTAACTATGACCTGCAGTACAATAAAATGTGTCTTTATTTCAAAGGTTAAAACTGACATAAACTGGTCATTTTAAATCCCCTTGGATGGTTCATTGTTGAAATTTTAAAACCAGAAATTTGTACCAGTCTGTCGCTTTATTCATTTCGGTTTTTCTTATTTTTGTAAAACGAGTATTTATAAATCTTTTTTCAAGTTTTTTTTTAACAAAAAGGTGTGCGTGCGTTAGTTAGTGATTAGAATAAAAACAAAAGCTAGCTTTTGAATCCCTTTGAGCTTTGACGACCTATCGGAGAAGCACCTACCATGGTTGTTGTTATATAAACATAGATGTTAAATATATAAATAGATGTAATATATAAACATAAAGGTTATATACATATTTTAAAGAGAATTGGTCTATAATGGAATATCTGTAGAAATGAAACTTTCCATAAATAATAACGTTGATAGTACATGTATTTAGTATCATACATAACATCAAACAACGACATAACTATATGAGCCGCGTCATGACAAAACCAACATAGTGGGTTTGCGACCATCCGCGCAGTCTGATCAGGATCCATGCTGTTCGCTATCAGTTTCTCTACTTGTTATAGGGTTTGTAAGCGAACAGCATGGATCCTGATCAGACTGCGCGGATGCGCATGCTGGTCTGGATCCATGCTGGTCGCAAACCCACTATGTTGGTTTTGTCGTGACGCGGCTCATATTATTAGTGTTGCTGGCCAGTGTGAGATACATGATCCGATGTAACATATTATTTGATATAGCAGACGACAAATTGTTCTAGAACGAACTATTATTATTCATAAACATTTTATATGAATTTCCAAATGATACATTTTTATTGTTGTTTTTTAATCAACATTTGAAAAAATACTAATGGAAACTGTGCCAATTATAGACCAATCCACTTTAATAAGTATTACACAATCCGCTCTTTAATTGTGTTTAAACCTATGCTCCAACTCCTCTGCGTTTTCAAAAGAACGACAGAATCCATGTAAATACTGTAAACTTATTATTCTTTAAATTTTCAAACGTTTCGGATAAAAAGAAACATGCATTTATTTATGATTAAACTAAATAAGTTAAGAAAACAAGGACCAATCTGCGAAAATAAAGAAAGAAATAAGTTGAGAAAATGGGGACCAGTCTGCGAAAATAAAGAAATAAATAAGTTGAGAAAACACTGACCAGTCTGCGGACATAAGGAAAAACTAACATTTTAAAAGTCCTATGTTTTGTTTTGCTGGTTGTACAGCAAAGCAACACAATTTAGCTCATATGGCACCGAAACAGGAAAGATGATTTGGGTTAACTTCGGGTGTTACAAAACTTTAAGCAACACTATGGATCAAAATGTCTTTTGTATAAGGTAAAATACAAAAGATAAGATATTTGTGAACAGTGAGCTCGTCATTATTTTAAAGAAACCAATGCATTTAAGATGGTCTTAATCATTGAATACCTTAAATAGAGATTTTTCTTCATTATTCATTCAGTATGAAGATCATGTAAACCAACTCTTCATAGTTTAAATCATTTTTGATCCAGTTTTAAAGCAACTTAACGCACTGCTTTTCCTTAAAACTCAATCAAGTTTAATAAGCCATTTGAACTTTATTCGTAGATATAAACTTAATTTTAATAAAGTAGTCTTAAAGCTGCATGCATCTTGAAGAGCCAAACTACTTCAAAAAATCAAACTTGAGAAAATGTACTAAAGAAAAGTAAAAAAGATTCAATATTCAAGTAATAATTTAATTAATGGCTGATTTTTTAGAGTTCATAACCATAAGTCTCTAAGATAATGTATGGTTATGTCAAAATTAAAAGATTGACAAGTCCGTTTAAAATATTTATTATGATTATAGTTAAACAGCACAGAGTCGACCTTGTAATACAAACTTAACTATATTTCTAATAGCAGAAACTGCGAAACCGCTCCTTTAAAGACAGTAGGGGGCGAAAATTGAAGATAGCATGAGCATACTTTAAATATTGCATGAGCATATTTTGAAGATAGCGTTGTTTAACGTGAACGTCGCCACTTGTCCGTGAACTTATTGATAACCGGAGCGTGATAGTCGTGCATATCTATGACTGTCTTGTGGGTAAACAATCATGACTAATTGTGTACTTTATGACACTTTTTTCTACACTGATTTAACTTTGGATTGAATAATAAGAAACTCCAAAGAGCGTACAAGGAAAGTTATGTTGACAGTTTTTAACGTAAACAAGTTTTAGAGAGTGAAATAAGTTTACTTCCAGATAATCTTTGTACGTCTGTTTGTCTGTCCGTCTGTCTGTCTGTCTGTCTGTCTGTGACGTTCAGTAAGATAAAATGAACTCATTTAGGCACCATTATAATTAATATATTTGTCTTACAACTTTAAATATGTTATGATAACCTTATTCTTACCAGGAAGCAAATAAAAGTTCGATAGCTTTTTTCTAGTACCAGCTCTTGTCTGTTATTAAACGTTCACCGGAAGTGACTATTTGGTCAGCCCGCTACTGGTAAATTTTGATAATGCCACAGTTTTATTACTACATGCATACCGGCCTAATAATATGCTTGAAAGAAGCTTTTGTTTTTATTGAACTAATTGTCATATATATTATTACAATATAGATTGTTGCAAAACTTATGCCATACTCCATAGTAAAATAAAATAACGATTATCGATAAATTATCGTGTTATCGGTAATGGTATTTATGATTATTAGAATGCTCCACCGTACACTATTACACTGACAATTGAATGGTATCGAAAAATGGCGATGCCTTGGTCATAAATGCGACATTCCACTGTATTAGCACTCAATTATCATGTATGAGGGAAGTGTGGACAAACATTTATTGACTGAAGAATATTTAAAATATTAATTCACCATTTCAGGTTTCTCATTTGCATCTTGTATAAAACTTTTGTACTTATATAGTTAAAGGCCCATTATGCCTGTATAGATCTCAAAATCCTTCAAATAAGTATAAGTAGGATAAAAGTCACAGTCCTGATTCAGTTCCATCGGCGACTGTGTAAAACATCGGTACCGTTTCGAGTTCAGTCTGCAACGCTTCGTAATCTTTCGTAAGCTTTCAGAATATATTTTGTAAACATTCGGAAAACTATTTCTTGTCCTTTCATGTAAAGAAGAACACAAAGAAGTGGAGTCTCTTTAAGATCGGATGACGCATGCACGGCCTCATTTCTAAACGGCTTAAACCCTTAATGAAATAGCAGCATAACAGTATATTTTATTCTGTTTTCGTATACTTAACATGTTAACCATTATGTGTTACAACTTTTTTCAAGAAAATCACCCCTAAGATTATGGAAAAACGAAATCCTTTACCGTTTTTAAATTTCATTAGAATATATTTCATTACTTATAGCTTTATACCCTCAAAGTAAGGTCTTAAATCGAAAACTGTCAGGCGAGGAAAAATAATACTGCGTTAAATTATGAGTAATGGAGGTTGAAGTAGCGAAATAT